AGTTTCAGTAAAATTCTAATAGTCTAGCAAGATGACTCAGTGAATAATGCAAGGATCTCCCCAGAGGCCTTGGTGGAAGGAGAGAAACAACTCCGCAAATTTATCCTCTGACCTGCATATGCGTTCTGACATTCATGTTCCTGTCTATACATGAACACATGCATGCATGCACACACACACGTACACAAACAATGAGCATACTTTTTTTTTTATTGTTGTTTTTAATTATAGTAGTCTCTGAGCATTCCACAAAGCCGGTGTGGCAAATACACCTCTGATTTTCAAAACCAAAGGAAAAAGCAATCACACTGAACTCCTTGTTTCCTGAAACCCGTGGATTCCGTTTCTGTACATTATTTACTGCAGAGAGAAAACCTGTTAACTAACAATGACAGTCACGAAGTCCTCTGAGTCCCTGAGTCAGGACGCCCTGCCCAGCAGTTATGGAACTTTTAAATTACAAAAGCTTCAGGCTCTGAGGAAATCACAAAAGGTGCCTACACTGCCTGATGTCTGGGAGATTCCAAAGTAGCTATGACAGCAATTGCCAGAAATTACACTGTAACAAAGGGGAAAATACAACCAGAAGCTTGCCCCAGGGGTGCTGAGTTTGAGGGAGGGGGGTACCTCCTATCTCTGTCTGCAGCCCACCTAAAAAGTTTTACAAAGATAGAAGAGGTAGAGGGTAAAACAAAAACTGCTATTCGGCCAACCTCAAAACAAGGAGAGATCCTGGAGAACCCTCAATAACAGGGCTCCACAGAGAGACTCCACCAGCCACAGCTGGTTTCCAGAATAAAAGATAAAGGATCCAGGATCCAGAGAAGGCTCCAGGAGATGAAGACACCAAAAGATGGGATTCCTCCAATAAGGAATTTGGACTGTAGCCAGCTGAGGACTTCTAACTTCCCAACCAGGAAATGATAACACACATTGTTTTAAGTTTCTACTTGCTAGGGTAGCAAATTAAATAAACACCAAACCTAGAGATGCCAGTGATGGAGGTGAGAGGCCGCTGTGACATATGTGAAGTGGCTGATCATGCCACTGGCAGAGGTCAGGAGCATGTGGGCAGTGTAAAGGAGAATTGGCCTAGACTACCTAGAATGGCTGTGGAAATAGGCTGGCAAGTCCACCAGTGGGGAAGCAGAGGGAAGCAAGCCTCTTGTCGCCTTAGGAAATCGGAAGCTATGTGATCAGGAGTCAGTGGAAAGACAATGCCTCTGCTGGTGACAGTCTCTTGGAAGGAGTGTATTAGAGGAACCTGGAGGGAAGAAGGCACATGGTCTCAGGAAATTGATTTGTGTCTCTATAGCTGTGTGGGAAACAAAGAGTTCCCAGTGATGAAGCTGAGGACCTTCCAAGCAAATGCTGGGGGTGTGACTTGGCTCTCCCTGACACTTGTACTCAAGTGTGGAAGAGAAAAGGGGAGGTGCTATCATCAGAAAGGAAAAGTGATAGTGTAAGGCTTCCTTAGTGGCCTGGACCACAGGGAGTACTCAGCACCCACTGTCAGGAAAGCCTGCTGTGCCCTGGGTGTGTAAGATAACCTTCTGTTAGCATGTCAAAGGGCCAAAAGTCCAGAGCATCCAGCAACAGAGGGCTCTCTGAAAAGAGCAGGCTGCGGACATCATGCTCTCACTCCCCACCCATCTGCATCCCCTTGATCCGCGCCACAAGAAAAGGCCATTTGCTCTATTCCAAGATCTCCAGCTCGCAGCAGCAGCAGTACCAACACCACCAGAACAAGGGAGATGATACAGAGACTGAGCATGGGTGGAGAAACAGGACACAGTTCTGAGCTGGGGCTCCAGGTTGCTTTCCCAAACTCATCTCCAAGGACCAGGCACTGGGAGCGTGGGAGGGTGGTGACTTTGTGGCTGCAGCCAGAAAGAGCTCTGACAAACACACCAGGAGTGTCCAGCGTGCAGGGGTCTGTACTGGCACTTCAGCCACTTTCTCACACTACTGTATTGCCTTCAAAACAGATCTGAGATTGATGGGAAACTTATCTCCTCTTCTGGAATCTGAAGCTCCAAGACCGGCAACCAAGTTGCCTGTTATTGCTAAAATTCCTTCCTCCTCCCTTCAGTTCTCACGGACAAACCAGGGCATGATTCCACAAAAGTTCACTCTAGGGAACCAGTGAGGTTACTTTCTTACAGGGCTTAGGTGAGTATGATTAAAGGGGTGTAGTGTTCTACCCCCAAAAGAGTTGTACTATAAAGTCAGCAGAGAAGAGGACTTCCCCATAGCTTTGGTGATGCCCCCCCCCCAGGTCCTCCCTTGCTTATATACTCTAGCCCATTCAGAGGCAGACATTCATACTCAGGTGTCAGGGAGCGGCTGGATATGCAGGCGAGAGTCCCATGACCCTCCCACACCACCATGAGGGCATGTAAACGGTCTAACAAGCCCATTGCTGTGGAATAATCAATCCTTCTGTACACCGTGTAAATTACACAGTGATTGGTTTAATAAAGAAGCTGACTAGCCAACAGGATAGGGTTGGTAGGAAAACCAGACTAAGGACACTGGGAAGAAGAAAGGTGGAGCCAGAGGAGTCGCCAGTGAGACATGGAGAAAGGAAACAGGAGGTACAAGATGAAAGGTAACACCATGTAGCAGAATGTAAATTAATAGAAATTGGTTAATTTAAGTTGTAAGAGCTAGTTAGTAATAAGCCTGAGCTATCGGCAGAGCATTTATAATTCATATTAAGTCTCTGTATTAATTCATTTCTTTCCTGGCAGGCAGGAAAGAAAAGTCCACCTACAGCCCATGAGATGATCTACAAGCAGGCACGAGTGAATGACCCCAAGATGGTGGATGCCTAGCCTGTTCAGTCCATTGCTGTGCACAGGTCTGGGCCAGAAACAGAACTTAGCACATTAGCTTGGTGTCTGTTTGCTAATGATAGGGAACACCACCACCCTGTTAGCAGCTCTGATCATCCCAGTTTTGTGTCCTGGCCTGATCATACCACAAAGGGTGAGTGCCCCCTCTCTGTACCAGACCAGTTGGGAAAGGTGCGTGAGAAACCAGAGCATAATAGGAGGACACCTGGACCCAGACAGACAAGGTCTGTACCCAACTTGCCTGCCACTGGGCTACCTCTGAAACTCTACACTAAGAGGTTAAGATGCTAATGAGTCAGCAAGCTTCTCCCAACCTCAGCTACACCCAGAATTGGCACCTAGCAAGCTCCAGATGCCAAACACTGACTTTGGCTTTGAGTGAACAGTTAAGAATCAAACACAAACTCTGACCAGCTGCTGTGGTTCTGTGTCCCAAAGCCCTCACGGGTGTATGCTGCCACCACCCATCTACCTGTCACCAAAAGCAGCATTGAGCTGGAGAGCTAGTTTTGGTTAGCCTTGGTTATGGAAATTATGCTAACAATCAACTGGGGAAGGGGCAGGGACTTTAAGCCAGTCCCCCAACACAGAATCCTGAACAGAACTATCCCCTCTTCTCTGCTCCCTCCAGGTGACTGGCAGCCCAGAAGTCACCAGCAAAGTAGGCACAAAGTTGGTGACAAGGGCCACTGTTGACTCTGTACCTCGGTCTCCCAAGTGTGTGTGCAGTGGAGAAGGGGCCTGGCCACCTGCCTTGCTCATCTGACTTCACACTTGGGGTTCCAGGAACATAAAAGCAGCCAGGGAGGCTGGGAAATGAGCTGAGTTGCTACCACCCCCAGCAGGGAACCGGCAAGTCTCAGGATACCACATGAGCAGTGTTACAAAATCCTCTGGTGACCAAGATTCCGGATTCATCATATCCTCGGCCTTGATGGAGAAAGTGGCTCCAACCACCAAAGTGAAACTACTTTCAGGGACACAGGAACCCTGTGCCGTGGTCACAATCTATGTCTAATCCAGAAACATCAAGAGGTGTGGAAAGAAGCTGACCAATCTGCTTTCTCCCCCTATAACCAAGGGCAGCAGCAGGCAAGCCTGTTAAACCGAGCAAAGAGGCGGAGCTGTGTCCAAGACGGGGAAGAGTCCAAGAACTGACTGGTCTTGATTCTCAGAGATTGCATTCCCCGTGCTCAAGGGGAGGCAGGCGATGGCCTGCAACCTGGAGGAAAGGCCAGAGTCAGAGGAAAGACACGGAAAGTAGGAACTAGTGCGTTCCCCACGATGGCTAGGGAAGGAGCAGGGGAAGTGCAGGAGGAATGAGGACACCAGAGAAGGCGCCCGAGACCGGAACTAATTCAGTTTTCATCAGAGAATGCATTATGTGTCCAACAGATTAATATGCCCCCAAAAAGGAGGCAGGGGTTAGGAGCAAGACTTTTGAGTACATCAGAACTTGGAGTTTCAGACATCGGATACCTCACTCCATGAAACTATGCCATTTCCGGGTTTGTTTATTTGTGTGTTCCCTTCAGGTATCTTATTTCCTTATCATTGAAAAGAAAGAAAACACAAAACAAACCAGCGCTAATCTGTAAAGCCCAAGACGAAGATGAACAGTACACGCACTAAAAATAATTCACTACCTATCTTAAAAATGCCATTGCAGGAAGCATTCCACCCACATGATTAGCGTGCACCAGCCAAGACCCAGCAGAGGGTAAATAACCCTGAGTTGCAGAGGCAGGCGATTCCAGCTCTACTTCCCAGTAGATTTACAGTCAGTGGGCCTGCCCAACGCTCTCTGCCTCAGTTTCCTCGATCTTAAAGGGGCCAGTACTAGCAGCGCTGCTCAAATCTCCAGTTGCTTGGCACACCAAAGGAGGGTACCCTGAGGAGAACACTAAAGCATCTATGATGCGGAGTGGTTCGGACCAGGGATCTCTTCCAGGATAACCTAGATCTTCGCGAAGACGCACACTGTGCTGAATTGGAAACTTTCCCAGTCAGCAAGGCAGGACAAGTGGGGACCGAGAGGCAGTGAACACCACAGCCCGAGGTGGAGACCCGGCGTCTGCTCGGAGACCACTCCTCCGCCCGCGGAGCCCCGAAGGCATCCTGTCCCGGCGCCACCGCCCTCACCTGCGGTGTCCCATATGGAGATGTTGAAGGAACGCCACTGCTTCAGGTAGAAGGCGCCGCCCACGGTGCTGACCGTGTCCGGGAAGCGACGCTCCATGTAGCGCTGAAGCAGAGACGTTTTACCCACGTTCATGTCCCCCAGAAGCACGATCTTCCCGTCCGGCTTCCGCATGGTCACGTTGGACGTGGCTCCTATGCCCCTCGGTCACCCGCCCAGGACGCCAGAGGTAGCGGACCCCGAGTTCCCAAGGACCCCGGACTCTACTGAAGTGCCAAAGAGGAAGCACTCTAAGGCTCTCCGGACGAGTGTGAACTCAACCC